CTTGTTGTGAAAAATTAGAAGGGTATTGTTGAGTGTTTAAATAATTATAAATGGTTTGATATTGTTCGAATTCCATGATGGATAATAGTTTTACTAGGATACTGACTACTTAGACTGAATTGAGCTTATTGTCGGACTTTCAATAAAATTATAATTTTGTATCAATTAAAGTTTGGATAACGCATCCACGTTTTTATTTTCTTTTCCTGGTCTATATTTAATTTCAAAATTATATGATTATAATCTGAGAATCCATCTGGCACATCGTCCTCTTATTGAACTAGTATATAGCTAAGTTAAGGCAGAATAATTGATAATAATTACAAAAGATTTTATTTGCAAATAATGATGAAAATGTTCAACTGCCCAAATTGTAGCTAAACATTTCAATTCGGTGGTGATATAATTCTTTTGAGCTCCCTGTAAACTCTTACTTATATAAGTAATCACCTGCTCAAGACCTTGGTCGTTTAGTTGAGTTAACATTGTGCCAAGTCCTTGAGATGATCCATTAGTTAAAAGATAAAAAATTTTATCAAAATCGGGATGTGTCAAAATAGGTGAGGTTGTTAATTTTTCCTTGAGAGTATCAAAGGTAACTTGATGTTTCTTTTTTCATTTGAAAGATGTTTTCTTTTTAGTTAGTTGATGTAAGGGTCAGATGATTTTTGATAAGTCATGAATAAACTTTCTATAATAAGAGGCTAATCCTAGAAAGCTTCAGACTTTTGTTATATCCTTAGGTCGAGGGAAGTATTGTACTTTTTCAATTTTTGCTGGGTCAGTAATGATGCCTTGGTCACTAATAATATGACCTAAAAATTCAATTTGTTTTTTCAAGAAGTGACATTTGTCAGGACCTAATTTGAGACCAGCAGCATGTAACCATTTTAATACTTCTTTTAATTTCTCCAGGTGTTCTTCAAATATTTTGGAATAAATATTAATATCATCCAAATAGACAATAACACCTTTATATAATAATCCATTAAAAATTTGATTCATAAGTTGTTGGAAAGTAGCCAGAGCATTAGTTAATCCAAACAGCATTACTGTAAATTTATAGGTTCCTTGCTTCACAATAAAAGTAGTTTTCTTCCTATCACTAGGGTCCATTTCAACTTGTCAGTATCCACTCGCTAAATCAAGAGTAGTAAACCATTTTGCACTTTGCATTGCGTTTAACATATCATCTACACGAGGGATTGGATAAGCGTCTTTTTTTGTAAGGGCATTCACTTTCCTATAATCAACACATAGACGTTGTTTTCTATTCTTTTTATCTACAATAATTACTGGGGAAGCCCAAGGACTAAAGAATTTTACAACTAGTCCTTTTTATAGTAGTCGTTAGATTTCTTCCTCTATAAATTGTTCTTTAATTGAATTGGAATGGTAAAACCTTTGCTTTACAAGTTTCTCAATTCCAGTGTCAATTTTATGTTAAATAATATTTGTTCATCCTAATTAACTAATATTTGTTGCAAACATATCTTGATTCTCTTCAAGTAACTGATTGAATTGTTCTTGTTGTTTAGTACTTAAAGTACCAACATTCAATTCAGTTTTAACTAATAAGTCTCCCATCATTACAGGGATTTCATCTAAAATATTCTTATTATTATCACTATTACTTTCAGATTCTAATTCTGAATTACTTTTCTCATCTTCAGACTCAATAGAATTTGAATAATTACTTTCTATATCATTTTCAATTTTATTTTCTTTTTTATCATCACTTTTATTTTCATTCCCTTCGGAAAAATTCATTTTCTCTTCAGAATATTCAATACAGTCTTCAAAAGTTTCATCTTTATCGTCTTCCTCAATTTTGGAAGATTCATTTCCATACTGGTTATTACTTTCAATTTTTTCATCAAATGTTTCACTTTCCTCTTCACTAGTAGTTTCGGAAATTTCTGCTAAATTTCCTCGTATACAGGAGGCAGGTAAAATCAAGTGTTGATTTCTCCATCTTAAAGTTAACTCATGACTTTGCCAATTATAATTTCCATTGGTTTTTAACAGCCAATTATTTCCTAAAATGAGTGTATAGATGGTCGCTTCAGTTACTTCTACATCACCAGGAATAGTATATCCTGTGACAGTAACTGGAAAATCTCTAATAATTCCTAGAGATTGAGTACCTTCTCCAACAGCAGGTAGAATTATACTGTTTGAAGGTTCATCTATGGAGTATCCTAATTGTTCCATTGTGTCTCACGTAATCATGCTTACAGCAGCACCACTATCAACAATAGCAGGTACTATATAACTATTAATATCAATGGTTCATTTGAGTGAGGTGACTCGTGGTCGATATTCTTGGTCAGCTGTCTTTACATCTACTTTTCTAGATACTTTTAAATTCTTCATAAGGGTTCGTTTCATTTCAGGAAGTTGGAATAATTGAGATCAAGTAATTTCAGCTTCCTGTTTTTGCATTTGTTCAGCAATGTCAAATCCTTTCGTGCGCAATAATTAAGGTACTTCCTTTTTTTCAGGTTTAGTAGATTTCTTTCTTTCAGGAGATGATTTCTTTTTATTATTCTTTTTAATGGGTCTGGTTTTATTTTCAGTTTTGAATTCCTCTTTTTGGAATGGAATTCCAAAAGTATTAACCTCAGAGATTTTAAAGTAATCACCTGTTCGAGGTTTCTTTGTTTCCTCGTCGGTACTGTTCTCATATCATTCACATTTTTCCAAATAAGTTTCTAAGAGTTAATTTAATAACCTTTTCTCTTCACTATCAAGTTCATTATCAGTTACCTTGGCATATCGGACAGCAGCATTTCGTCTGCTATTATTATTATTATTATTATTGTTACATCTATTGTTATGATTATTATTGTTATTGTAATTATTATTCTAGTTATTATTATTTTGAGAACAGTTGCGTGAAATATGTTCTTCTTGTCCACAATTGTAGCAAACAGGTGGATGGTAATTTTGGAAGGGGTTATTATTATAATTTTGATTATTATTATTAAAAGGACGATCATTATTATATGATTGGTTTCAGGGTTGGAAGTTTCAGTTGTTATTATTACTTTTCTGGTTTACTTGTTTTATTAACAAATCAATTTTTTGTGCCAAATTGATTTGAAGCTTTTCAAATTTTTGGACCAAGTCATCCAAGTCTCCTTTTTCCGGTAGCTTCTTTTTCTTAGTCTCTTTTTGTTGAGATTTTTCTTTCTCAGATTTTGACTCAGGTTCTTTTTAAGACTTTCAAGGTTCTTTTCGTTTCACTACATCTTCACCTGCTTCATACTTTCGAATAAGGTCCACCGCAGTTGTGACATCAGCAGGATTGTTTATCATAATTATTGGTGCGAGCTTAGGTCGTAAGCCTTTCACAAAATAACGCATTTGATCAGTAGCTGGCATTTCAGTTATTTTATTAATTTTTCTGATAAGTCGTTTATGAGCAGCATAGTAAGTATCAATAGCTTCGTTACTTTTTTGTCGTAGTTTCTCTAATTCTCGATGCTATTTGTTAATCTATCAAAAAGTATAAAAGAATTCTTTAAAGACTTGAAGCCATTTAGCTCAAGTAGTAGGAGTTGCCGTTTCACACCATTCCTCTGCGTCATCTTGTAAATAAGCTTTTAGCATAGTGACCTTACGAGTGTTTTCCCAGTCATTTATTCGAGCAGCTTTTTCAAAATCCTCCATCCACTTTAAGGGGTCTTGTAATCTATCACTATAGAAAGGTTCTACTCAAACTGTAGTACCTCCTAAGTTTCGTTGTAGGTAAGTTAATATATGTTGATTAGTAGTCATGTTATTATTATCATCTTGATTGTAGTTATAATTGTTGTGATAATAAGTGGAAGAATTATTATCATTGTCAAAGTTATAAATATTGTAATCAGTGTTGTTGTTATCAAATGGTTTGACTTCCTCTTTTTGTTTACGCTTTTGTTTAGAGGGGTTAAATTTAAGTGTTGATTGTTTTTGAGTTCTTAATCGTTGTGGTTTTCTGGCAAAAGAATTGTCCGAATTATACTTACATGTAAAATTATTTTGGAACCCGAAACCCAAAATATAAATATTTCAAAATTGACCCCAAAATACCATTTCAAAATTTTGATATTTCAAAATTAAAATGGGAGTCGAAATTAAAATAAAAGTCG